GCACACAGGTGTGCATCTCTGGGTGGGTATGTGCACGGGTGTGCATCTCTGGGCGGGTATGGGCATGGGTGTGCACCTCTGGGCGGGTATGTGCACGGGTGTGCACCTCTGGGCGGGTATGTGCACGGGTGTGCACCTCTGGGCAGGTATGTGCACGGGTGTGCACCTCTGGGCGGGTATGTGCACGGGTGTGAATCTCTGGGCAGGTATGGGCACGGGTGTGAATCTCTGGGCGGGTCTGTGCACGGGTGCGCACCTCTGGGTGGGTATGTGCACATAGTGCAGGCACCCAGGGAAGCCACAAGAGGATGTCAGATCCCCTGGAGCTAGAGTTGCAGGCTTTTGTGAGCTACCCAGTGTGGGTGCTGGGAGCCAAACTCCAGTCCTCTGCAAGAACAGGAAGTACTTTAAACCACTGGAGTCGTCTCCTTAACTGCCGGAAATAACCCATTAATGTCATGTCATGTTAACAAATACGTTTCCTCTGTGCTGTCATATTTAGAGCATAAATTTCCAAGATGATTTCTCCCTTTATTCAAAAGTCTAATTTTATATTTTATGTAGTTGAATATACTCTACTTTGCCCTTTTAACCAGATCATTTTTATCTATGCTTAGATACCCCAGCTTCCCACAAAATTTTAAGAAATGACTCATTTTATTTATTTCTCATTTTCCTAGGTGTAAAACTTATACATGCTTTATTATCCAATTCATTTTTATTTAGTGTGTTTGGGGTGAGCCAAACATCAAAGCTGGCAGTTTTACCAAGCATACAACATCACTCAAAGTCTTCCCTTTCCCACCACTCCATATAGATGCCAATAGATAGAATTCTGATCAACAGGCCAGTGAGGTAGAGCTTGCTGTGAACCTTAGGAAATGCAGTGTAGGAGATGGTGAGGAATGGTTTTATCTGGAACAAAGGGTAGCTTAAAAATATTTTTTGTTATCCCAGAAAACTTAGACAACAATGTGGACACTAAGAGAGACTTACATAGATATAATCTACATGGGAAGTAGAAAGTATAAAAAGACAAGATCTCCTGAGTAAATTGGGAGCATGGGGACCTTGGGAGAGGGTTGAAGAGGGAGGGGAGAGGCAGGGAGGGGAGCAGAGAAAAATGTAGAGCTCAATAAATATCAATAAAAAATGTATAAAATTATTTTTGTCATTTAGTTTATGTGTACCAGGCATTCTGATTACACATATTGCATACCATGTGTGTGTATGATACCTTCAGAGGCCAGAAAAGGTCATCATATCCCTGGAATTGGAGTTATAGATGGTTCTGAGCTGCCATGTCGGTACTGAAAATCCAACCAAGTCCCCTGGAAAAGCACCCAGTGCTTTTAACAACTGAACCACGTCTCTAGTTCCAAGGGTAGATATTCATGATTTTTTTTATAGTACTAAGATTAAAGTTAGGGCCTCATGTTTGCTAGGCAAATACTCTACCACTGTGCCATATCCCTAACCCTTCTTAAATTTTGGAACAGGAACTTCCTGTTGGCCAGGCTGACTTTGGACTGGCTCTGTTCCCCCATGTAAACTTTGAATTTGTTCTTCTCCTGCTTCAGCCTCCTGGGAGCTGGTATTTTGGTGATTCTTAACCAAGAATTGACATATTTGTCACCTAAGGAGCTTTTAAGAAACACTTATACCTGGGGTCTTACCATGAATGGGTCTGGCATTGTGGTCTGACATAGGTGCATGTTAATTTGTTTTTCCAAAAGTCCCTCAGACATTGCCAGTGCAGAGAATCACAGGAGACAAAGATGGACAAACATGTAGGCTGCAGGTAACAAGTGGTGTTGAGATCACGCTGACAGATTTAAGAGGCCAACGGCCTACCTTACTCAGGAAGGGAGCCTTAAGGACCATGAGAGAGAACACGGAGCCCTGCCGCTTGGCACAACAATTACACCTCCAAGCCCAGGTGTGAACTTGGGTAAGGGTGGGTTTCAATCCCATTTGTCCCATATGCAGGCTGTTAGCTGGGTGGGTTGCTGGTCCTTTCTGAGTCTCTCTGTAACCACAACAATTGTGTTTACCTACCAGGCTTGCGATGAGTCAAAGGGAACTTGGAGATGAAACACCTGGCTCAGCTCCTGACAGCTGTATGCATTTTTTCCCCTCCACAGAACCTTTGGCTCTTGCTGAACTGGCCTGGTGACTAACTTCAGGATGAAGAGAGATGAGGTATTTGCAGGGAAGACACGCTAACACCCATTCGTTAGTGAGAGAAAGAAGTCTATGGAGCCCTGTAGTCCTAGAGATTTTGATAGCCTTGTAGAGGCACTCCTGCCTCAGAGAACCAAAGAGAAACCAGACCTCCAAGCAAGCCTCAGCTTCATGGCTTACAGCACCATAATTCTTCGGTTTCATAGCTCCATGGCTTGGCTGAGGTGGAAGCTGGCTCCATGACAGGGCACCTTAACTCAGTCACAAATGTAAGCTCAGCCCCAGGCAGCTTGGCCTGTGAATCTTAGCCATGGCCAGCTGTTAGGAGGGCAACACAGACCGAGCCATTCTTATTGAGGATGACTTATTCAGTGAGACTTCTCACTGAAGTCTGTTTACAGAGCCAAGGCTCATTTCTGGAGGCTGACAATACCTTCTTCCTGCTCCCAGGATCCACCAGCCTCCACTTTAGAGCACTGATACCCATTCTGCAATTTGACAGATACTCATCGATAGTTCTTCTGTCTGGCAGGTACTTGAGAACACAGTAATCATTTAAAAATGACTTTTCATGCTGCCTAGTCTTCTAAATTAACACCAAATAGTGATGTTGAGATTATCAGTGGACCCAGATTCCTTGGAGGTCAACTCATCCAAAAGGCAGTGTGACCGACAGAAAGGAGTAGGGACCCGGAAAGTAGACACGTGTGGTCCTTGACTCCTGATTGGAACCAGCTTGCTTGCCCTCTAAATGAGAGTCTTTCTTACTCTGAGCCTAGTGTTTTCTTCCTCAGAGAGCAGATTTTTGGCTGGGTAGAGATAGATGCTGAGGAGGTGCCAGAAGGAAGGGGGGAGGGAGACCTCCTGCTGCAGGGAGGTCCCTTAGGAAGTCAGGAAGATAACTTTGGGACAGTAGGTAGAAGAGCCCTCCTCCTGCCTGGCACACTGATCACACCCTAAAACTTAGGCTTTGGATGGGGACTTAGACATCTCTGGGGGCTTGAACTGAAGGGGATGAATGGGAGCCCCCAACAGTGAACCTCTTGTCTGATTTTCCTTCCCTGCACACTGGAGAAATAGGTCAAGAGATGAATGGCATTTTATACTCTTGAAGCAAGCATAAGGGGATTTAGCTGGGCTTGTTGAAACAAGAGAGGCTTAAGTTAAATAGTAACATGGGCTCTTCACTCTGAGGAAAGAGTGAGGTTTATCCCAAGTCACTAAATCCTCTAAGAGACTGGAAGATGCATTAAGTGGCTCTTGATCTCTTCTATGTACTGGACAGCTCCCCAAGTTACTACAATGCTCATTAGAGCTGGAAGTCTGTGATTAGTCCATTCCCTTGTTTTGTCAATCTGCCTTCAAGGCGGAAACCTGGAAGGTGCATCAGAGTCTCAGACAACAGACTCCTACTCCTGGCTGCCACCTCATCAGAGCTGATATGGAAGCCAAGTCCAAGGCTCAGGCACCAGCTAGCCAAAGAGCACCGAAGTGATTAGAAGTCTCCTATACTCTCTCTGTCTCTTTGAAAAGAGTAGGCACGCAGCCAAGGGGATCTCCCACTGCCTTTGCGTACAGTTATGGGAGTATGATCCGAGGACACAAGAAGACTCCAAGGCAGCTGAACTTCAAGGTGGCCGGTATGGATGGTTAGGGGTGATGGCCTCAGAGAGTGAGATTTGGTTCCCCAGGTTTCTGAGCTCTTATTTGGTACCAAAGATTGCTGTGGGTGCTGGGCTGTGTTGCCGGGAGAGATATGGTGGCAGTAATTCATAAAGACAGCATTAGCAACATGTGCTAAGAGCTGTGTGCCCAGGCTTCATTCCCTTTTGCTTGCTAAACAGTAAATATTTATGGAACCAATTGCTCACACAAACTGGCTAGACTGGTCTCTTTTCAGTTTCCTGGATGCGCCATACGATCTTTGCATTTGCTGTTATCTACCCAGAAGTTCCCCTCCCCACAGGTTATTTTTTGGGGGGAGGGGAGATGCTGGACCTCATGTTTCTTGGGTTTTTAAATCAGAGGTTCCGTTCTCATTGCAGTCTCTGATCACATAATCTAATGTCATAACTCCCATTCCCTCCCAGTACCCCCTTTTCACTATTCTTACTCCTATTAGCGTGCAGTGCTGCCCAGGATACCTTACTTGCCTGATCTCTGTGGCTAGCCCGAGAACCCCAGGACAAGAACTTTGGACTATTTTGTACATTCCTGTAATCCCTTCACCTGGGTCAGGTACTCAGCTTTGTTCGGGCAGCACGTGAATTGAATGGAAGAAAGGCTTCCTCAGTATATCCAGTAAGTACCCAGTGATAAGCAGGGAGACAGCTCAGCAAACAATGTGCACCGGAGGGCCTTGCTGGAGGAGAGATAAGATAATAGGCCAGCTACACCACAACAGACATTCTCCTGAAACAAAACGTGCTGGCTGCTTCACAGATACTTCCCTATGACCTCACTAGTACCCCAGGCCTTAGGGACTATGAATTCCAGCAAAGAGAGGCTCTATTGACTGAAAAAAATAGCTGAAACTACCCAGGTAGTTTCTGAGTAACGGAGGCCCGGACTTAATCAGTTGGCACACCTCAATGAAATATTTATATATAACACACACATATGTATATTGTATATACATATATATGTAAATCTTACAATGAACTTTTTAATATTTATTGCTTTTCACAGGTCCTGTAAGGCAGCTTTACAGATGATGAAAACTGAGACTGCAGAACCACATGTTCCATGCTTCCAGACAGCATCAGACAATCCAGCCCTGCTTACTATTTCTGCTCAGGCTCACAAGGTGGAGGAGCTGGCCCCGAGGAAAAGAAGGGCTTTCTGGGACCAAGTTTTCCCAGAGAAGGAGGCAGTAGGATTTCCAGGTGGGAGGGCTTGGAAGAAGGGCCTGAAGGAAGAACCTTGGACGACTGTGGAGGAAGGAGTCCCACACCCTAGTCCCTGCTCCCGCCTGCTGCTGTGGTTTGAGTCTAATAAGTAGATATGGGAGACACTTGGGCAAGGCAGGGCAGGATAAAAACCCTGTGTAGGAAGTAGGATTTTTAGTTACTTCTCTGTCTTAATTTCTTAGGAATCTATCATGTCCACTTATCCCTTCTGTTCAGTTTTTGTTAAATTAACAATCTATATTTATATAATGTATTATCTGAACCTCATAAAAAATCATTGCATTTGCATATAACATGTACTCCCACTAAACTTTCAAAGTTTTAGTCCTGATATTCCCTTTATTTAAGGGTGAATACTTGACAGTGGAGGATGTTGAAAACCAGGTAAGCATTCCAGGTCATGTACTGCTCCATCCATCCATCCATTCATCCATCCATCCATCAGTTGTGGGCTGAGCTGTCTTTATACACTTATATGTTGAAACCCTATAGTACCTTATATAATGTAACTGCATTGGAGACCACCTTTAAAGGGCTGTTTAAGTTAAAATGGGGTTCTTAGAGTGAGTCCTGATTTAACCCGACTAGCGACCTTACAAAAAGAGAACGGAGACAGATGTGCACAAAGCAAGATCTGAAAGAGGACACAGCAACAGTATAACCATCTCCCGGCCAAGAAGAAAGGACATAGCAACAGTGTAACCATCTCCCAGCCAAGAAGAGAGGACACAGCAACAGTGTAATCATCTCCCAGCCAAGAAGAGAGGCCTCGGGAGACACCAGACCTTCTGATACCTTCAGTTTTCATTTTTTATCTCCACATCATTCAAGCCAGTCTGTGGTGTATGGTTTAGAGACGCTTGGGCAAATATATATGACATTTATTCAACCACTGATCCATCCACCTGCCCATCCACCCACCTATCCATTAATCCACCCGTCTACCATTCATCCACATATCCATCAGTCAGTCTGTCCAGCCAGCCATCTGTCTATCCACCCATGCATGCATGCATGCATGCATGCATCCATCCATCCATCCACATATCCATCTATCCATTCATCCACCCACCCCATCCCATCCCCCCTACATACATACCATGTTGAGTGTCCCTTATTATTCAGGTAAGCTGTTATTCTGGATAGTTTTGTGTCAACTTGTCACAAGCTAAAGTCATCTGAGTGGAGAGGATCACAGTTAAGAAATGCCTCCATAAGACTCAACTGTGGGCAAGCCTGTCATTGTCTCAATCATTGATTGATTGGGGAGGACCCAGCCTAGGGTGGGTGGTGCCATCTCTGGACTTGTGGTTCTGGGTTCTATAAGAAAGCAGGCTGAATAGAAAATGTGAAGAGGCCCTCTATGGCCTCTGCTTCAGCTCCTGCCGCTAGATTCCTTCCTTTTTGAGTTCCTGTCCTGACTTCCTTTGGTGATGAACAGCAACATGGAAATGTAAGCCAAATAAACCCTTTCGTCTGCAACTTGCTTTTTGGTCACAGTGCTTCATTGCAGCAATAGATCCTACTTAAGACAGCCACCTCGCTCTGGAGATAAAAGAACAAAGAAACCGCAGTCTCTATCCTGTTCGAGCGGCTAGTATTGAGTAAACAGGAGTTATGTCAGACTGTGACGCGTGCCAGGACCGACCTGAGAGCTGGAGGTGTGGTTGAAGGGACACTGGATCCAGCTTGAGAATGGAGGCACGAAACACAACAAGCTGGACTCCCGAGAGAATGGCAAATCAGGGCAACTTCGGGGAAATGCAAAGGCAGAAATACGCCAAAGGAGAAGAGCAGGAACTAAATGTGAAGGATGGGAAGGGCCATCCTCAGCCTATGGTTCTCAGAGCTTTCTTCCTCGCCTTCAGCTCACCCACTCCTGTGTCTCAAGAAGGGGCAGCATGGAAGTGAATTTCCACTGGCAGGCTGGGGTGAGGTCCTTCTCTCTCCTTCCTGTGAGATTGCTGATGAACATGAAGAAAGGGCTCTTGTCCGAAGGTCAGAAGGCTTTGGACCAGCTATGTACATGCTATGCCTTCTTTAACATGTCTCTAGATGTGTGTGCGCTATTGTAACTGTAGGCTCAGTTGCTGGGATTCCAACTGTCCACCACAGTTCTCTACCCATACCACCTTGCTCGCTGTCATCAGAAAGCTGTAGAGTACTGCAGTACCTACCTTAGAGATTTCCTGAGTCTGGGAGGAGACGCAGGTGCAGATCGGGCCTTGGAGGTAGACTGGCAGGATACAGTAGGCAACCAGGAAGTGTGAAAGGTTGCAAAGGCATGTATTGTACGGCTTCCTGGCAGCCCTACTGTGTCAGCCATCATTAGCATCAGCACCATCACCACGTCCCATAACCATCACCACCATCATCACCCACACCACTCCCATCAGCACCCTTGCTAGCTTTCCCATCACCATAGGAGGCTCTGGGAGGTTGCCCTTGGTGGCTTCCTTCTCTCCCATATTCTTCTTTGTGGTTGTCTTAGACCCTAGATAGATTGATTTTTTTTTAATAATTGATTTTTTTAAATATATTATCAAAGGGAAGACCCTAGAGGGATTTTATTCGTTTGTTTAAAAAGTTTACTGTTCACTGCCAGTATGTATCCATATGGTTGACTTTTAAAAGATTTATTGAAAAATATAGATTTCTTTATTTTCTGTATATGAGTGCATGTATACCACATCTATGCCTGGTGCCAGAAGAGGTCAGAATGTGTCAGATCCCACGGAACTAGTGGTACAGCTGGTTGAAAGCTACCATGTGGATGCCGAACCTGGGTCCTCTGCAAGAGCAACAAATGCTCTTAACCACTCCATTTCTCCAGTTCCTTAAAGATCTTTTTTGTTGTTTGTTTGGTTGGTTTTTGGTTTTTAACACAGAGTTTCTCTGTGTAGCTGTCCTGGAACTCGGTCTGTAGATTAGGCTGTCCTCGAACTCACAGAGATCCTCCTGCCTCTGCCTCCCAAGCACTGAGATTAAAACTGTGCACCATCATGCCCAGCTAGCGATTTTTCTTATTTTAAATTACTTGTATCTGTGTGAGGGTGTGTGCACATGAGTACAGGTACTCCAAGAGGCCAGAGGCATTGTATCTCCCTGGAGCTGAAGCTACAAGCAGCTGTGAGCCACCCAACATAGGTGCTGGAGATTGAGTTCAGGTCCTCTGTAAGAACAGTATTTACTCTTATTGCGGAGCTGTCTCTGCAGTCTTCAGATTTGTATGTGTGGGTCTTGTACCTCGTGTGATTGGCTAGTTAGCCCCTTGTTTCCCAGGGGAATCCCTTTGCATTAATTAGACTTTGTGGTTGCCATGCTCAAGTAACTGACAGGAGCACGTCAAGGTAGAAAGGATTCGTTTTGGTCTATATGTACATGATGGTAGGGAAGTCAAGATGGCAGTTTGTTACACTGCATCACAACTAGTTTGTTACATTGTATCCACAATCAGAAAGCAGGGAGAGATGAATACTGCTGCTCACCCAGCTTCCTCCTTTAAAAATACATTATTTGAGAATTTGACACATGTATACAAAGTATTTTGATTTTTATGCCCTTCAGTTCCCCACAGATCCCCCCAGTTTATCCCCCACTCATAGTTCACGTCCTTAAAAAGAAAACCCACTGATTCAGATTAGCGCTGTCCAAGTGTGCATAGGTGTGGGGTCATCACCAGATCCTGGAAACCTCCCCAACCAGACAATAAGGGGTGGGCTTGGAGAACATTTCCCATTCGTGCCCAAAATTTGGCTTGCTTGACCTTGTACAGGTAACCATTGCAGCTATCAGTTCATGAGTACAGTGGCCACGACATGTTGTGTCGGTAACATTTTCACAGCTTTCTTCCCATTCTTTGACTCAACATAAAGGGGTTTAGCAATGCCATAGTTATAACATTTATTGAGCACCTACTATATACCAGACATCAGTCTAGGCACTGGGGATACAAAACTGAGTTAAATAATGTTTTATTCGTGGAGCTGGGAGCTTCAATTTGTGAGAAGAAGCAGATGAGAACCAACAAACAAGTATGTGGTAGAGAAAAATGAATACCAGAGACAAAAGTTTATTCAGGACAAAGTGGTCTTTAAAATGGGAAAGTCAAGGAGATGAGGTTAACCAGGTAGCTGGGCGGTGGTGGCTCACGTCTTTAATCCCAGCACTCAGGAGGCAGAGGCAGGCGGATCTCTGTGAGTTCAGGGCCAACCTGGTCTACAAGAGCTAGCTCCAGGACAGGCTTGAAAGCTACAGAGAAAACCTGTCTCAAAAAACAAAACAAAACAAACAAAAAAGGTTAACCAGGCAAAGAAAAGGGAATTAGGGAACAAAAAGTCCCTAGGTATTAAGATATCTGGTGGTGGGGGATGGTAGGGGAAGGGAACTGAAGTTGGTATGTAAAATGAAATATTTTTCCTTTAAAATAAAAAATAATGGTACAACTAAATGCCCCTTGACACAGTAATGCAATATATTATGAGTTCACTATTTTTATTTGTAAGTATAATTTTAAATGAATAATTAAATATGGTTAAAATGAAAAAAAGGCATCTGGCATACTGAGACTAGAGGCCATTGTGGTGGCAGTGAACAGCAGGTATCTTGGAACAACCTGGGAGGGTTTGGGAAAGGCATGTGATGCAATATGACTTGGAGTTTAGTGGAGCTGGGCTGACTCTTGTGTGGAACACCGACAATAGGACATCACGTTCTTAAACAGAAAGGCCAGGCTGGGGGTTATGTCAATTTCCCAGTTGTGAGAAACTTTGACATCAGTGGTACAGCAGCCCGGGGGAAGTGGGAGATATTGTGTAAAATGTAAAGGAAAAGCCAAAAAAGTCTGTTAATACAGTGCATCGAGAGATGGGTGGTCCTGGCTGTCCAAGGGAAAATTATGAAGTAGCTTTGTACCATTGATTCTGTAAAGCACTGGGGACTTGTGGCTTGGCTTCTGAGGACTTTATCATCTCAGCGCAGAGGAGAAGCAGCTGACATTCCTGGGCCCCTTTTTATTCGGGCACTCTGGCTGGAATGCGGGAAACCAAGAAGGCTACAGGCTCTTAGAACTCGACCTTATAATTTAGTCCTTGCAATATGAGGGTGCCTGGAGACATCCTGTCACAGCTGGATGCCTGGAAGAGATGCGTCTGGCTCCTTCTCCGTATTCCTGATCCTATCCTACACACTTCAGGGTCGAGAAGCAAAAGAGGGACGAAGGAGTTCAGACGCTCAGGAAACAGAAAGGGGCAAGTCCCCTGAACACTTGCTGTGCTGACAAGAAGTCAGCAGGATGGAAATCTCCAGAACCTCCAGTGTCTACAAGTCTGCTTCCATGATGGCTCTGGGCAGGTCCCCTCCTCCTAAGGGTGTAACCAAACACCCTACTTCAGAAGAAAACACTACCTGCTTTTAAAGTTAAACACATCTTAGCCTGTGGTTTGTGAGCCACATACAGCACAGGGAGCTCCCAGAAAAGACGATGAAAGAAAATCCTTGAAATCTGGACACAGGAGCTCTGTCAAACACTGCTTGTCCCACGTAGCTCTGCAAACGGCATTAGTTACCCTTTCTTCAGAGACTTGCCATGAAGTCAGCATCGTACGGTCTGACTCCCGCAATCCCCACCATGTACCGAACCCAGTCTTATTATTCCATTTGATAGATGAAGTCACTGAATTTCAGGGACATCGTGTTCTACAGGAGGTTCTGGAACTGAATGTGAGCTCAAGTCAGCTTATTCCAGAACCACTGTGCCCTGCCCTGGGTGTTGTGGTGTGTGTGTGTGCACATGTGTGCATGCACATGAGTACAGAGACCAGAGAGAACCTCAGGCATCATTCATTAGATACCATCTACCTCTTTTCTTTTCTGAAAGACAGGGTCTCACTGGCCTGGAACTTATCGTGTTCCAGGGAGGCTAGCCAGAGAGCCGTGAAACCTGACTTTAAGTATGTATGTATGTGTGCATCTGTACGTGTGTGTGTTATATGTGTATATGTACCTACCAGTGCACAAGTTCATGTGCACGCATGTGGAAACCAGAATATCTCAAATGTTCTACCCTAGGGTTCATTCCCTTGCAACAAGCATCACTCAATGAACCTGGAGCTAGGCTGGCAATCAGCAAGTCCCAGCAATCACACTGTTTCCTTACCACCTTGTCCCTAGCACTGGGGCTCCACACTCCCTTGCAGCCAGGCCTGGCATTTTATGTAGGTCCTTCTCACTTGTGCAGCAAATTGTCTTACAAGACACCTTTCCAGTCTTTTTTTGTTTTTGTTTTTCAAGGCAGGGTTTCTCTGTAGCTTTGGAGCCTGTCCTGGAACTAGCTCTTGTAGACCAGGCTGCTCTCAAACTCACAGAGATCCACCTGCCTCTGCCTCCCAAGTGCTGAGATTAAAGGCATGTGCCACCACTGCCCGGGCATGACATCTTTCCAGTCTTGGTATGTCTTTTAACATGGGCTCTGGGGATCAAACTCGTGTCCTCGTGCTTGTGAGGACCATCACGCTAGCCTGTCACTATCCTTCCAGTGCTCAACAGATAAAAAACTGAGAAGTATTTCATTTCTATCTCTGCCCTGTGCATGTAACTCCCTAAACAAAGCTAAAGATCATTGATTATTTTCACTAGCAAGTGAGTGACTGTTTTCTCCAAGGAACATATTAATGCCATAATAAGAAAGTTTTAGATAAATGCTTCACAGAGAAGGTGGGCCTCAAGGTCACAGAATTTGGTGGCAAAGCCATGGCTCAAAAAGCAGACAATGCTGCTGTCTCCAGGCCAGAGTTTTGGCTGTGTTCCAGCAGGGTGCCCTCAATTACTGACCCTCCCCCATCCTTTTAACACAGATGGTGAAGGAGGGTCTCTGTACATCAGTAATTATAAGCATGCTTGTACTTTGGTACTTTTTTTTTTAACATAGGGTTTCTCTGTAGCTTTGGGGCCTGTCCTGGAACTAGCTCTGTAGTAGACCAGGCTGACCTCAAACTCACAGAGATCCACCTGCCTCTGCCTCACGAGTGTTGGGATTAAAGGCGTGCGCCACCACCGCTCGGGGGTACTTAGGTTCTTTTAAACAGGGTAGTCCTGAAATTCTTATGACACCCCAGCTTTTTGTCTTCGTCTGTCCCTCTGTCCTGCAGGCTGAGGAACCATGTGCTTTGTTGAAGCAGGAGTCTTCTGCTATAGACCCTGCTATTCAGCCTGTGGAGGGGTGTTCTCTTCTGGATAGAGCAGATGGTTTCACTAGAGCTGGTTCTAGTGCAAATTTAAGTCACTCTGCGTTGTTTTCCCCAACAGCGACTCCTCTGCTCGCTTTCCTGTCTTCTGCGATCTGCAGCCACTCCACCCAGCTCATCTCCATACGCAGCACACACCCTTCAAGTCAAGACAGGTGTCCCGGGCTCACCCCACTTCCGCCTCAGAAATAGGTTTCCTGTTCTCCCACTATGCAAATCCATTCTCCAAATTATTCTTCGTTCTGCACCTTGTGTACGGCTCAAGGTTGGCTTTCCAAGTTCTCTTCACATTTACATTCTCAGTTCTCAGATTTTGGCCCTTAGCATGCTCCCCAGGCGTTCTGCAGATCCCGTGATCGCGGGCACACATGTGCCCATTCAGAATTTAAAGGTAAGCAATAAAAAGCATGAGGAGCAATGGTTGTCCTCAAGGAAGGTGTTTCTAGCAGTATCCAGGCATCTCCCTGGCACACAGTGGGCCTTCAGCACAGGAGACATACAATGTCTCCTTGCCATTGCTTATGCCAAGAGAGGTACTGGCATAAGACAGCCAAAGAATAGAAGTGATGGCATTTGAACAGGACTTTAAAGACGGGAAGATTTTTGTTTTGTTTTGTTTTCTTCTTTCCCCTCTTAAGCCGATTGGGAGGAGGTTACAGACAGAAGAAATGGCATCCTTACTTTTGCCAGGCACACCTCAGGACTGCAGCAGAAGTCAGTCGTGTGTAGGGGGTGAGTGAGCCCCAGCACCCGAGCCCCTGACTACTAAACTAGAGAACCGATATATCCGAACTAATCGTGAGCAAGTTTGTTCCCCAGGCCCTCATTGCCCTTCCATTTAGAGATAAAGTCGCTCAGCTTCAGAAGCGCCAGCAGTAGGTTCAGAATCTGGCTATGTGTAACTTTGAAGCATTCTTTTAGGGTTGAGGATCCGTCCGTTTCTGTCCTATAAAATGGGCAAATATAATCCCAACGTTCCAAGGCTTTTGCGAACCCATGTAAGCTGATAAGCCGGATCCTGGTATTGTCATAGTCCTTTTTTTTTAAAAAAAACAAATGTGGAAGTAACAACCTTGACCTGTGTCCTGCTAAGTGTGGGTGCTGGTGACTTCCCTTCACTCAGTCCAGAGCCTGCCTGGAGCAGGAGTTGTGGTGGTACTCCAAATGAAAACAGAGTCAAGGAGGCTGGGGAGAGGGGTTGTCTACAGTTGACTGGCCCAGCCAAGGGAGCCACACAGTAACTCAGTTCCTTGGATGAGTTGTAGTCCACATCCAAGGTGCTTGGGTGCAGTCCTTCGAGACTAAAAACCCTAAAACCCTCGGGGGAGAGACTAGGCCTGGTTGTAGGCTTGCAGGATGGCCTTGGGGGAAGGGTGACTGCGGATTCACCATAGGCAAGAGGGGCGTCGGGTCCCCACCCTCCAGAGCCATGATCCCCACGGCCCGTGATCAAGTGGAGCTCAAGTGGGGCCCAAGTGAGGCTCACGCTCAGCATAGAGCTCAGGGTCAGCACCGCCGACTCCACTCGAGGGTAGTCCGGGCACTCGGAGGCTCGGCCACCCCAGCAGCCGCGCCCAGCCTCGCCCAGCCCGGCCCCACCCGCCCTTCCTCTCTCCCTCCCTCCCTCCCTTGGTGGGGTCGCGCCGAAGGGAGGAGGGGCGGCGGCCGGCTTGCGTGGCAGGCGCTCCGGTTGGGCTCG